TGCATATGCTGACTAGGTATGCCAGGGCTAGAAGTACATATGCTGCGTTGGTATGGAAGGGCTAGTAGAGCATATGCTAAGTTGGTATGGAAAGGCTAGTAGTGCATATGCTGAGTTAATATGCCAGGGCTAGTAGTGTATATGCTAAGTTGGTATGCCAGGGCTAGTAGTGCATATGCTGAGTTAGTATGTCAGGGCTAGTAGTGCATATGCCGAGTTAGTATGGCAGAGCTAGTAGTGCATATGCTAAGTTCGTATGCCAGGGCTAGCAGTGCATATGCTGAGTTAATATGGAAAGGCTAGTTGTGCATATGCTGAGTTGGTATTCCAGGGCTAGTAGTGCATATGCTGAGTTAGTATGGCAGAGCTAGTAGTGCATATGCTGAGTTGGTATTCCAGGGCTAGTAGTGCATAGGTTGAGTTGGTATTCCAGGGCTAGTAGTGCATATGCTGAGTTGGTATGCCAGGGCTAGTAGTGCATATGCTGAGTTGGTATGCCAGGGCTAGTAGTGCATATGGTGAGTTGGTATGGAAGGGCTAGTAGTGCATATGGTGAGTTGGTATGGAAGGGCTAGTAAGGCCCCTCCTTGTGTATTTCTGATACATTTTATAATCCGGTCATACTCATAGTTGTTTCCATAGTATTTTGTAAATCATATATTATCAAATTAGTGTTGGTGAACACTAGTATGTCTACATGTTTTCTTTCAATATCCTTTTTGTCTGTTTTTCTCACAGAAAAAAGCACTAGTACAGTTAAAGCAAAGTAAACGACAAGCCAATTCTTCTACAACTGCCACACAACCTAAAAAGAATCGAGGTAAGTGTTTGTTAGGCACAGTGTAAAAGTTGATGGGCTAATTAGTAATTATCTCATCTGATAGCCTAATTATTATTATCAATTATTATTACTGGATGCATGGAGCTTGAAACAGCCACTGGTGGCGCTGTATACAATCAAGACCTATTGCGGATTGCTGTAGCCAATTTAGATTGTATTGTAAAACTCAGTTGTTAAATTTGGTGACCAGTTTAGTATGATAGAAAGCGTTTACAGTCTTCAAATAAACTTTTCAAATAGTCTTCATTTCCATATTATTATTTCTTACAATTTCCATATTATCATTTCTCACCATTTTCATATTATCATTTCTCACCATTCCATATTATCATATCTCACCATTTCCATATTATCATTTCTCACAATTTCCACATTATCATTTCTCACAATTTCCATATTATCATTTCTCACCATTCCACATTATCATTTCTCACAATTTCCATATTATCATTTCTCACCATTCCATATTATCATTTCTCACCATTTCCATATTATCATTTCTCACCATTCCATATTATCATATCTCACCATTTCCATTTCTCACAATTTCCACATTATCATTTCTCACAATTTCCATATTATCATTTCTCACCATTCCATATTATTTCCATATTATCTTTTCTCATCGTTTCCATATTATCATTTCTCACCATTCCCATATAATCATTTTCACTATGCCATATTATCATTTCTCACCGTTTCATATTATCATTTTTCACCATTCCATATTATCATATCTCACCATTTCCATATTATCATTTCTCACAATTTCCATATTATCATTTCTCACCATTCCACATTATCATTTCTCACAATTTCCATATTATCATTTCTCACCATTCCCATATAATCATTTTCACTATTCCATATTATAATTTCTCACCGTTTCATATTATCATTTCCAACCATTTCCATATTATCATTTCTCACCATTTCCATATTATCATTTCTCACCATTCCATATTATCATTTCTCACCATTTCCACATCATCATTTCTCACCATTTCCATATTATCATTTCTCACAATTTCCACATTATCATTTCTCACAATTTCCATATTATCATTTCTCACCATTCCATATTATCATATCTCACCATTTCCATATTATCATTTCTCACAATTTCCATATTATCATTTCTCACCATTCCACATTATCATTTCTCACAATTTCCATATTATCATTTCTCACATTTCCATATTATCATTTCTCACCATTTCCATATTATCATTTCTCATCATTCCATATTATCATTTCTCACCATTTCCATATCATTTCTCACCATTCCATATTATCATTTCTCACCATTCCATATTATCATTTCTCACCATTCCCATATAATCATTTTCACTATTCCATATTATCATTTTTCACCATTTCCATATTATCATTTCTCACCATTTCCATATTATCATTTCTCACCATTCCATATTATCATTTCTCACCGTTTCCATATTATCATTTCTCATCGTTTCTATATTATCATTTCTCACCATTCCCATATAATTATTTTCACTATTCCATATTATCATTTCTCATCATTTCCCTATTATCATTTCTCACCATTTCCATATTATCATTTATCACCATTCCATATTATCATTTCTCATCGTTTCCATATTATCATTTCTCACCATTTCCCTATTATCATTTCTCACCATTTCCATATTATCATTTCTCACCGTTTCATATTATAATTTCCCACCATTTCCTTATTATCATATCTCACCATTTCCATATTATCATTTCTCACCATTTCCATATTATCATTTCTCACCATTCCATATTATCATTTCTCACCGTTTTCATATTATCATTACTTACCGTTTCCATATTATCATTTCTTACCGTTTCCATATTATCATTTCCCACCACTCCAATATTATCATTTCTCACCGTTTCCATATTATCATTTCTAACCATTTTCATATTATCATTTCTCACCATTCCACATTATCATTTCTCACAATTTCCATATTATCATTTCTCACCATTTTCATATTATCATTTCTCACCATTCCATATTATCATTTCTCATCGTTTCCATATCATTTCTCACCATTCCCATATAATCATTTTCACTATTCCATATTATCATTTTTCACCGTTTCATACCATCATTTCTCACCATTTCCATATTATCATTTCTCACCATTCCATATTATCATTTCTCATCGTTTCCATATCATTTCTCACCATTCCCATATAATCATTTTCACTACTCCATATTATAATTTCTCACCATTTCCATATTATCATTTCTCACCATTTCCATATTATCATTTCTCACCATTCCATATTATCATATCTCACCATTTCCATATTATCATTTCTCACCATTTCCATATTATCATTTCTCACCATTCCATATTATCATTTCTCACCATTCCATATTATCATTTCTCACCATTTCCATAGTATCATTTCTCACCATTCCATAGTATCATTTGTCACCATTTCCATATTATCATTTGTTACCATTCCCATATAATCATTTTCACTATTCCATATTATCATTTCTCACCGTTTCATATTATCATTTCTCACCATTTCCATATAATCATTTTTCACAATTTCCACATTATCATTTCTCACAATTTCCACATTATCATTTCTCACAATTTCCATATTATCATTTCTCACCATTTCCATATTATAATTTCTCACCATTTCCGTATTATCATTTTTCACCATTCCATATTATCATTTCTCATCGTTTCCATATAATCATTTCTCACAATTTCCACATTATCATTTCTCACAATTTCCACATTATCATTTCTCACAATTTCCATATTATCATGTCTCACCATTCCATATTATCATTTCTCATCGTTTCCATATTATCATTTCTCACCATTTCCATATTATCATTTCTAACTATTTCCATATTATCATTTCTCACCATTTCTATATTATCATTTCACATGATTTCTATATTTAATTTTTTATCATTTCTCAGTTATTTTAGAACCTGTAACAGAAGAAGCTAAAGAAGCTGCCAAGGAAGCTGCAAAAAAATTAGTCGCTGCGGGGGTAGGTTACTGAAGCACATTTCTTTGGTTAAAATCTAAAGAATTTTCTGCCACCTTCTTTTCAGATTGACCTTTAAAATAAATGTATTACTCCAATTTCCATATTAATTTTCAAAATTGTATATTTTCATCCTAATTTTTGGTGCAAAATTTCCCCTCCAAAATGTTGGTGGGCCTGTTTTTTCAATAATTTGGTGCAGATGGACATAATTTCCTATTGGATGTACAGTCAGATTTTTTTTTTGATGTTCAGTCAAAGGTTCAAGTGCAGAAAACTTGATGGCTAAACATTTCATACTAAACAGCAGACTAATTTACCAGCTATCACCATTTATAAGAAAACACTGGCTACAGGTATTGATTAAAATTGTGGAAAAAATATTTTAAAAAAATTATAAGGGTTTTATTTTGTGAATGGTGACAAAAGTTAACTTTGACTCTTAAATGGTTAATGATATGCAAATTACATAATTAATATGCACATACGGTATATACAACTATTTCATGAATGGTGACAAAAGTTGATTTTGATGCTCAAAGGGTTAATGATATGCAAATTACCTAATTAATATGTACATACGGTATATACAACTAATTTGTGAATAGTGAGAAAAATTGGCTTTGGTGCTCAAATGGTTAATGATATGCAAATTACCTAATAAATATGCACATACGGTATATACAATTATTTTGTGTATAACTTTGACTCTCAAATGGTTAAAAACAATTTTTGAATGCCAACATTTTTTCAATTTTTCAGGTATTTATTTTTCTTTGATTTTTTGTTAATTTTGAACCAAATGGACATAATTTTTATTGGCTACTGCTCTAATGATCCAATTTGTGGATAAAATGTAAAAAAAAAAACAGAAAATTCTATGAACCATATATTTTGATAAATTAATGTGTTTTTTTTCCATCCTGTCAACAGGCGATCAAAATTGATTCTGGCAGCAAAAAAGTTGGTTTTAAGCGATCAAGAAATCTTGAACACAAGCTAAAAGATCCAGAGAAATTAAGTTTTCAACCATTCCATCCAAGCAGTACACCAAGCGGTGATGAGAGTACACCCTCTCCGAGTAGAACATCGGTTAAACCTCTATATGAAAGGTAATTAATTTTTTGTACATTTTGTCAAACATTGATGGAATTTTTGAGTACTAAAACTTTATTTTAGCTTGAATTAATTTTTGCTGTAACGGCTTTTGGGGTGTTTTGTATTAAATTTTTTCAACTCTCAAAGTTTTATCTGACATACCGTAATCCACTTATGATTCCCAAAGCTCACTGCACATTTGTTTTGTATTTCAGTTTTGTGAGCACTGGTACAAGTGGTAGTGGTCACGGTTCACTGTCATCAAGAGACACACGTAAGTTTCAAAATACAATTACTTTTATATAATTATACATTACATATTCCTATCTGGGTCAATCCAGCGTCAGTCAGTGTGACAATGCCCAATTGTTCTTACTGTGTTATTAGCTACGTTCCCACACTTCCAAAAAACACTGGTGTTGACAATGTTTTTTTGTTGTGCAAATACTAGATAATCCGCTAAATTATTTGCTCGCGTTCTAGTAAAACACCTGTGTTTGAGGATTGAATGCTGTCCTTCCACCTAATATTTTGTGTAGCTTCATCCCAAAATGGCATAGTTTTTGAATCTCTACCGCTTCTGTTGTTGTGCTCAGTCGCTTCTCTGTACTTTATACGTAAAGTTTTGATCCTTCCGTTGACATTGTAATGACATACTGTCCAACCCCTTTTCAGCCGCTTTTTCTGCAATCACAGCATATACTCTAGCATCCCTAGACGGTTCCTTCATCATTCTTTGAATATTCGATTCTCTCCATACAGATATCAGGAATCTTATTTCTTCGTCTGACCAGTTCGACATTCGACCTGTAACCTCTGACATCATCTTGTGTAATGTCAAGCATAAATAAGTCGACGATAGAGGGCATTTGGCCATCGTATTGTGTTCACACGGCACATTGCGTTGTGTAAGAGCCAGTGTGACAACAGCGTTTAGGATCTGGTCCACCCCTTTTACGATGGTGTCAAAAACACCGATACCACAAAGGCGTATTCTGTTCACACACACATTTTAACAACGTTCTCAAATAAAAGGCGTTGTGACAACGACTTATTTCGTCCAGTAAAAACACCACTATTGTTCTTGTATTTATCATAACGCAATCATTCGGGTCTTGAATTTATTAGTAATACTTGCTAACTGGATCATCACCTCAACCCAGTAATTTATTCTTGTATTGTTTGCAGGGCAAGGTAGCCACTTTGACGACAGGAGAGAAAGGAGAAAAGGAAACACCGTATACGTGTCAGGTCATGGCATTACGGAAAGTGTGTGTCAAAAAGCATTTACAACAATTGGCAAGATTGTCAATATAAATATGGAACAAGACAGGAAGTTAGTACATTTGCATACTTCCTCATTTGCATACAATTTGCATATTTCATGCACTGTTTAATTTCAAATAATATTTTGTTCTTTTTTTTTGTGTACTATGCATTTTATGAAGGCATGATTTTTTTTTTATACAAATATTTATAAAATTCACATGATGGGTGAAACCACTAGACCAATCACCACATGTTTAGGATGCATGGTCATAAATTGGCCAAAATATGCAAAAACTTCATGCCTTAGTGAAATGCAAGTAATGGTTGGGTGTCTGATAATGGCACATAAAAAATAAATCTGGTGTACTGTTAAAAAAGTTTGCGATTCATCAGTATTAAAGAGCTTGATGTTCTTAAAATCTCATCGAAACAAAAGTTTTTGTTTCCAGATGCCTGTATTGGAAACAAATTATAATGAATATTTGATGCTTATTCATGTTAAGTTATCATTCAATTCAATTTTAGATTGGATTAAAATCCACCTACCAGGTACCTGTAATAGGCTACAATCTCACTTGTGGTGGAGTATCTGTCAGAAATCCTTGAATCGTCTTAAAAGTTCAAAGCTGCATACATATTGATTTTATTTTTGTTCTCGTCGACTGATTTTAAAAAGTTGTCAAAAAAACGCCATGTAAATTTAAATCAATTCATAGTCGTTTGGTGCAAGCATTAAGCGTGTGATTGGTTAAAAATGTATCTACAACTCTCATTGCATGGAGATTAGTGAACAAATGATGACATACATGTGACATGATTAAAAGTCAATAGGACAAGCATCAGGTTATTATTCCTGCTGATCTGCACTGGCTCGGAAGATGAATTCTGATTGGCTAAAAAAACAAAAAACTTGTGGCGTTGAATGCACGTTCATTCTCAGTAATGTTATGCAAATTAGAAATTCAAACTAGCTAATCATTTACAACCTTCCGAGCCGGTGCAGATTAGCCCTATTATTCAAGATGATGTATTGTTTGTCAGTATACAAAGTCAACCATCCACAATGAATTTACCAAGCAATGTTCATTTTCAGTTGTGGTTTTGTGACTTTTGAAAAAATGGAGATGGCCGACAAGGCGATAGAAGAAATTAATGGCACGCTTGTTGAAGGCGTGCATTTAAAAGTATCAATGGCACGACGGCAACCGATGCTGGAGAGTGCTACCGATAATTCCCCATGGAGTAGTGTCGGTAAGCGTTGCTTGTATTTTGGGGATCCCGCATAATATGGACAAAAGGAAGTTCACCGATAAATTAAAACTCACACTAACCATTCATTCTCAATATTCACACTTTTGTGTAGGTTTATATGCGTTATTTTTAAATCAGCATATTAATTACCCATTTTGTATAATAAGTCAATTTCCAGCTGTTCCACTCAGAAACAAGTGCATAGATTTCAGTGAAACTGATACAGAACCTATGAAATAATCCACAGGTCTTATGGACTCAGTGTGATCAACACTTAATTCCCATAATAATTAGCCAATTTTCAGCTTTATTACTGATATAAAACCAAATTTATTCCAATTGTGATAATGTGTGTTATAAATATATTGACTTTGAAACTTTGGATCTCACATGACTACAACTCATAACAATATTTTGTATTTATTTCATGCCTCTTGTTTTTGCCTCCAATACCCCCTCAGTTTTTAAAGCTTTCTTTGACTCAACAGTATACAGTATTCATTTATCACATCAGTTATTTTGAAATAATAATCAAATCTTCGAAACTAAAATTTATTTAAGACAGGCCAACTGAGCAAATTTTTTCACTAAATTTCTTATATGTATCCCCGATATATACAAGCCTTAAAAAATCTCAATGTTTATAAATTAAAGCATATGTCATGGAAATTATAAATAAACTGTAAAACCTATATAAAAATGACAAAACCCTTACAGCGACTCAAGTCTCAAGCCATAATATATGAGCAATCTGTGTATAAAGATTACCTGTCTTGTGTGACCACCTAGACTGTCCCAGTCATAGAAATTTTATAATTTTTTTTAATCAATCATTATCAGTTCTCATTCTAAAGTGGTGATTAATTTAGTCCCCGTTCAGGCGCAGCCTGAAAAGGGGACTTTATAATTCAGGTTATGTCCATTTTTCCGTCTCCAACATTTTCTCAGAAATTCTACAGCAGATATCAGTGAAACTTGGCAGGTTGATGAACAAGTCTCTGCTGAGTATGCACATAATTTTTTTTCCAGATCTGAAAATCCCAAGTGGGTCTTTTTCACGATTTTCATCAAAAATTACCTCTCCCGGCAACATTGACAGAACGTCTGCGCATGCTCAGAATAAATTAATTACTGTAAAATACTTTATTTTTGCTTGCAACATTTATTTGTTATTTTCGCTGAAGGAATGTTTCAGTTAAAATAAAATCCAGCGATATACCCTTTTCTTATATTTTACAGTCAACTTCAATCAAATCATGAAAATAAATTCAATACAAAACACCCAGAAAAAGTCTTTT